TTTTTTTTTTTTCTGCTTATGTGGTGCTGAGGAATTGAACCCAGGGCCTCATGCATGCAAGGCAAGCTCTCTACCACTGAGCCACATTCCCAGCCCAATCCTAGCTATTTTGGAGGCTGAGATCTGAGGATTGCAGCTCAAAGCCAGCCCAGGCAGGAAAGTCCATGAGACTCTTCTCTCCAATTAACTACCTGAAAACTGGAATTGGAGCTATGGTTAAAGTGGTAGAACACTAGCCTTCAGCAAAAGAGATCAGTGCCCCGTCCCTAAGTTCAAGCCACAAGACCAACAAGAAAAACAAACAAATAAACAAAAACCTTCCAACCAAAAATATCTAAAGTCCATGAGACAAATACACATTTCAATTTGGAATTAACAATTAAAATGTGTAGTCATGTGGGGCACTGGTGACTCATGCCTATAATCCTAGCTACTCAGGAGGCTGAGATCTGAGGATCACAGTTCAAAGCTGACCCTGGCAGGAAAAGTCTGTGAGACTCTTATTTCCAATAAACCACCAGAAAATCGGAAGTGGTGCTGTGGCTCAAGTGGTAGAGCGCTAGCCTTGAGCTGAAGAGCTGAGGGACAGCACCCAGGCCCAGAGTTCAAGCCCCATGACTGACAACAACAACAACAAAAACAAAAACAAAAACAAAAAATGGTCATGCTGTATGAGTGTGGTGGGTTCTTGTTTTCTGGCAGTATAACAGAAGTAGGAATGATAAGCAGTTGTAAAGATATTTAACAAAGAGAAGGTCACTCAGGAGACTGAGCAGTGGAAGGGACTGAGCAGTTGTCAAGGGACTTTCTACTGTGTTCCTCTGTTTCAGGCAATTGGTCAGATGGGGACTGGTTTGACTGAAAAACACAAGACCCTTCCCTGGTTGAGTATCTGCCTGGCAAGTACAAGGTCCTGAGGTCAAACCTCAGTACTGAAAAATATAAAATCCTGCCTTTGGTTCACACTGTAGTGAACTTTAATATGCTGTGTCCTATGGACTAGGAGTGACTACACTTGTCTCTAGTGCTGGTTACTTTTTTCTTTGGTTGTTTCTGTGTTGAGATGATATCAGACAACGTAAGCAGGCTCCTCTTAAGAAGCCCTTCTTGGTTCTTGGAGGAGATTCATCCGTGTGAGGTGGAGGAGGAGAGGCTGAAGATGGAGGGGTCCTTCTTGGACAGGACTTTCTGTTTCTTGTCTTTCTCCACCCCTCTGTAGAGGTAAAAAGACAAAAACATAAACAGATCAAACATCGAGGATGATTGAGATTATGTCAGTAGCCCAACTACAGCAGGCCAGAAAGCTGGGAACTGACAAGCTCCATAATGTACTAGATAGAGGGTTATACAACCAGCAGAGAATTTGGAGGTGATTTGTGATGCATGTGTAAGAAAACAAAGCAGGGCTGGGAAGGTGGCTCAGTGGTAGAGTGCTTGCCTTGCATGCATAAGGCCTGGGTTCAATTCCTCAGCACCACATAAGCAGAAAAAGTCAGAAGTGGCGCTCTGGCTCAAATGGTAGAGTGCTAGCCTTGAGCTGAAGAGCTGAGAGACAACACCCAGGCCCAGAGTTCAGGCCCCAGGACTGACAAAAAAAAAAAGA